CAGATTTGGTCTTATCTTGGATTCAATGGATATAAGGGGACAAAGGAGGCCAAGCCAATGTTCCTAAATGGAGTTCAAAATAACAGACTATAAACTTTGTCCTTAGATATTTCTGTCAATTTGTAACTGCTAATGTGAAACCAATTGCAAAAATAATTATTTTAACATAGTATATAAATCCTGCAAGCTAAAGATTTACTGTTTTTTATTTTAATGAATTCAAATTATCAATTCTTTATTTCATGGATCATGCCTTTGATGGACCTAAAAAGCCATTGTCCAACCCAAGGTCATCTAAATTATTTTCCTGTTACCTTCTAGGATTTTTATAGTTTTGTTTTTACATTTGAATCTATGGTCCACTTTGAGTTCATTTTTGTGAAGGATGTAATGTCTATATGTAGAGTCAGTTTTTCACATGTGAAGATTGTTTCAACACCATTTGTTGAAAAGAAAGTCTTTGCTCAAATGTATTACTTTTACTCCTTTGTCAAAGATCAATTGACTATATCAGTATGCATCTATTTCTGGGCCCCCTAATTCTATTCCAATGATCTATCTATTTATTCATTCACAAATACCAAACTGTCTTGCTTTCTATAGCTTTATAGTAAGTTTGAAGTCAGGTAATGTCAATCATCCAATTTTGTTCTTCTTCAGTATTATATTGGCTAATTGGTCTTTTCGGCTTTCTACATAAAACTTCAGAATCCACAAAATAACTTGCTGGGATCATCCTTATTTTGAAATAATAAGAAAAAATTGATTGGATTTCAAAGTCATTCGAATTTTCACCAAAAAATGTCAATATTATATTGTTTAAAAAAGAAAGAACTATTAAATTCCTTAAATTTGATTCAAAAATGAAAATAAAAATATTTTTAAATTTATATCATCAACTTGAGCAAATAAAATATCTCACCAATGGTGACTATAATGAAGTTGAAAAGATCATGATCAGTAATTATAATTGATAATTATCTGTAGTCATTTCAAGTATAAAATGAGAAATAAAGGTATTTATTAAAGCAATTTCAAATGCTATAAAAATTTAAGATATTTATACTTAAACCTTTGAAATTAAATATTTAATATGCTTCCTAATAATTTCTACTTCATTTTCTTATCATAATGATAGGATATTTTAAAATTTATTTTTTTATGAAGCCTATGTAAATGTCTACAAATCTCCTTCCAGTTTACTACAGTATGAAAAAGTGGTATCATTTTTTTTCCACGTGTCATCATATCCAAAAGGTCAGGACGTACTTCCTACTCCATAAAATAATTATATGCTTAGTCTTTGGAGTTGTTGCCACAGTTCTCTAAGACTCTGCATTAGTCATACCACATGCCTCCATTGATCAAGGTTCATTCACCCACATATAAAGAATAACATTCCATATGAAGAGAGATGACCTTTGTAATTCTCTTCCTCTCTATTCTTTGGACCAACCCCTTCCTAGACACACTCTGAGCAATAGGATCTCCGGGCCCTGGGCCCAGGAAAGCAAACTTCATAGTTGTAGCCACCAAATTTCCATATTGCAGTTGTTTCTGAGAGTGCTACAGTTCCTTCTTCACTGCTAGTTACAATATTTTTCATATCCTGGTAGGGAACATCAGAATTCATCTCTGGGCAAGCAAAGGAAAGTAAGCAGGCAGGTACTGATAGAACCCACTTGCTTCTCCTCCTACTCCAAGGAGGAGGGGGTCCATAAGCTCCTGGAACCTCTAGAAGCAAATTCAGGCTACTGGATCCCCAGACATTACAAGATGTACAATTAGAAGTGAGTCACCAGCATGTAAAAGATAGCTGGAGCCAACAGTCAGCCCTCTGTTGCTGTAACAAAATATCAAAAAATAAAATTCTAAGAAGCAAATACTTATTTTACTCACGATTTCAGACATTTCAGTCTATGGTCACTTGGCTCTGGGGCTTTGGGCCTGTGGAGGCACAGTACATCATGGTGGGGAGTGCATGGCAGAGAAGGCTACTCACCTCATGGTGGCAGAGAAGTAGAGAGGAGGGACTGGGTCTCAATATCCCCTTCAAGGGCATGCCTTTCAATGACCTAGGTTCCTTCTCTTAAAGGTTCCACCATCTCCCAACAGTGCCACAGACTGGAAACTAAGCCTCCAACACATTTGCCCTTGGAGGACATTCAAGATCCAGAATATAGCAAGCCATGAGATTGTAAGAAATCACCAAAAGAGACTAAGCTGTAGGGTGAGAAAGGGGAACCAGTGAAGAAAAATAAGTAGAAGCAGCCAGATATGTGTGAGGAATAGCAAGACTGTGGAAGCCTGGGTATCCCTGAGAGGACTAAAAACCAGAGTCCTGAAATTCGTAGGAAAAGGAACAAGAAGCTTAGTCTGTTTCTAACATTAGCACCAAAGATATGCCCCTCCTGCCTGGGAGTGAGATTTCTGTGTTCCCTTCTATTCTGCCTCTTGCCTTATATCTCAGAGTTCACCTTTTTATCTCTTTCATTATTTCAGCCTCTCCTTCTGCAGCACGAGCACATATCCTTGGGGTTGCCCTTCCTGGGTCACCAAAGAAGCAGCGAGTCTCTCCAATGTACCATGGCAGCCTCTTCTCACTCTATCTCTGTCTCCAGGTTGCAGGTAGGAACTCCTGTTTCTCTTTCCTATTCTGAGTCTCTGGTTCTATGATACAAAAGAGTGAGTGGAAAAAAAAGAAAGAAAACTCAGAAGAAAGTAGACAAAAATACAAATAAATTCTTTGAGAATCTGGGAAAAATAAAAGTAAATAAATTAGCTTTTTAACCTTACTAAGTACCAGGCATTATTCTTGCATCTCTTGATCCAGGCCTACTGGTGAGTGCATATGGTGTGTGTGTGTGTGTGTGTGTGTGTGTGTGTGTGTGTGTGTGTACGCACGCACGCACACACACACACACACACATGCACACATGAGTGCAAGTGTGCATGTGGTACAGCAAGAATTGAGAAGAAGTGAAGAAGCCTCACATTGTAATTAAGAAGCACAAGTTCTTAGAATCTCATGAAATGACAGAATAAGACCTTGCAAACATAAAAGATTGCATGCCCCATTGTCTCATCCCTTGCTTATGGCAAACACTACTATCCGTTCTCAGTCATGTTTCCTACTGGGCTGTTTTGGATTCTCTGTAGACACAGTTGTCCAGTTATTCACTCCCAAACCACTAGAGTTCATGTGTGAACCCTTCTTCTCTCCTCCCTCCCTCTGTGTTCTCTTCTATTCTGCCCCTTGCCTTATATCTCAGAGTTCATTTTTTTTTTAATCTCCTTCATTATTACAGTAACTCTCCTTCAGTAGCACAAGCACAAAGCCTTGGGATTACCCTTCCTAGTTGAGGACAGACTCTAACCCAAAGAAGTTATTGCATCTCTTTCCCAAATCCAGGAGTCTAACTTTTCAGCTCCTCACCAACCTCCCACTCCCACAAGGAACTAGGTGAGTTAGGTAACATTTCCAAGGATCAAAATTTAAAGAAGCACTCACTCTTAGGAGCTTGTTGCCTGTGCACTTGCATAGCCCTGAGCAAGGCCTTCTTAAATCATGACCCCCTAGGTGCCTTGTGAGCTTCACTCTAGCCCAGGCCCACTATTCTACTTTCAACATCTCTTGGCTCTGGGGCTTTGGGCCTGTGGAGGCCCAGTACATCATGGGGGGAGTGCATGGCAGGCCCACTGTTCTACTTTCAACATCTCTTGCCCCTTCTTTGACCTCAGTCCTCTCTGACTCCATCTCTGTTTCTCTTTTTTTCAGGGGCATTCCAAATCCAAGGGCCCCATGAGCCTGTGGTGGCTGTGCTGGGTGGTGAAGCAGAGCTACCTTGCTTTCTCTCATCTCAGCAGAGTGCTGAGAACATGCAGATAAGCTGGTCCCGCTCCCTGTCCTCCCAGATTGTACACCTGTACAAGGATGGGAGCGACCAACCCAAGGAAGTCATGGAGGAGTACTCAGGGAGGACAAAGCTTGTGAGAGATGCTATCAGTAAAGGCATTGTGGTCCTGATAATCTTCAACATCCAAACCTCTGATGATGGACAGTATTACTGTGGGTTCCAGCATGACTCCTTCCACAGTGATACATTGATCGAACTGAAAGTGGCAGGTAATGGTCCAGGTTCTGCCCTTGAAACCTCTTTAGAGTGAGTTTACTCTAGGATAGATTTCCTTCTCTGATCCATGTTCCTTGGAAACATAAAGAAGAGGTTGTAAGAGAAATGGAGGTGGCTAATACAATAGCCTTTTTCATAATTCTGTATACCACTGCTAGGATCAGGCTACCTTCAGGGTTTAGAGATAAACAGAAGATAATAGAATCATGGTGGGAGTCAAGAAATGGGCAGGGTCAGGTATAGTGGTGCATGCCTATAACCAGTGGCTTGAGAGGCTAAGGCAGGAGGATCATGAGTTCAAAGACAGCCTCAGCAACTTAGCAAAGCCCTAAGCAACTTAGTGAGACCCAGTCCCAAAATAAAAAATAAAAGGGCTAAGAATGCAGCTGATAGCTAAATGGTTAGGTGCCCCTGTGTTCAACCTCTGATATCAAAAGAAAAAAATAAAGAAGAAGAAAAAGGAAGAAAGAAATGAGCAAGCACCATTTGTATTGAACAGTGTTGGACTCATCTCTTGTCTGAATCTCCATCAGTTATGGCCAAGATATTTTCAGAGCCTCAGTTTCTGCTCTATGCACTATGATCTAGTCAGCAGCCCCAACTCTTCAGAGAAACATAGACGTGTGTGTGTGTGTGTGTGTGTGTGTGTGTGTGTGTGTGTGTGAAAATGAGCATTTCTTTCTCTTCTCAGCTCTAGGCTCAGCTCCTCACTTCCACATGGAGGTTACTGAGACCAGAGAAACCCAACTGGAGTGCATGTCAGAAGGCTGGTTCCCTAAGCCGAAGGTCCAGTGGATAAATTCTCAAGGAGAAGAAATTCCACCTGTGTCTGAGTTTCAGACCCAGGACCATGATGGACTGTTCCATGTAACCACATTTCTCCTATTCAGAGATTCTGCAAAGGCGAACCCGACATGTTCCATCTGGAACCCAATCCTAAATCAGAAAAAAGAAGGGCAAGTGTCCATAGCAGGTCAGTTGTCTCTCTTCCCTTACTTACCTACCAGGTATGCTCCACTCCTGCTTCTGCTCTCTTCCATCACACCACAGCAGCCTTGACGATAGGACCCAATTTCCTTCTCTTTTTCTACTTCCTCCTTTCCTTTCCTCACCAGACTTTTTCAATCCCCAACTGACTTAACACCTCCATGAAACTGAGGCCTCTTCATCAAAAACTACAATCTAATCTCCTCTTTAGATCTCAATACACCAGTCTCTCCTACATTGCCTTTTCAAGGTTCCTCCTCAGATATTTTGTTAGATCTTTCCTCTACCTAAATGTCCTGCTAAAATAATTCTTTTAAGTTTAAACACAGGTAAGAATTCCTCACAGATAGACAGTCATGATTTTGGTCATTTACATTCTACCTTCCTTCTTGATTTATGCCAAGTCCTATTGTATTTTTTCAATTATTTTCTCTATTTTTCATATAGATAACGTCTATTTATTCATCTAATCTTTGCTAAAATATTACTTCCTATCGTCAAGTAAAATATTACTTCCTTAGAGAAGCTTCCTTTTACTGCTCATCTAGCCGAATTAGATTTTGGCACTATTCTCTGTCATAGAACCTTGTTGTTCTCATAACCTTGGTACCAAACCAAATATAAGCATCTATTTCCTTTGCATTTATTTATTTAATGTCAGTGTAACTCATTATAGAGTAAGTTTTATGAAGATGGGAGGTTTGAATTTTTTCTAATCATTTAAAATCCACTACCTAATATAGTAAATTAAACAAAGAAATCATTCAATTTTTATTGGCAAAGAATTCAATGAAGATAAGAGTTTGGGATGGCTTGACCTCATGTAGGCACTGAGGTCACTAATGACAGTGGCAGAACTAGCCTGGAGAGTGGTATGGGAGCCAGAGCCTGGTGCCATCAATAAGAGGGAGAATGACTGTGAGACCAGAAGAGAGGAAAGAGAGATGCTCAAAGGAGAGGGGTTTTGTATGATCTAATTTTAAGTTGTAATGCAGGTTACTTATCCCAACTTTCTCTAATTTGAATCAACCTCCCAGTGCTCCCAATTCTCCAACCTAAACTTTTCCTCTGAAAAAAATTCCTCAACATCTTTCATCTCCTCCCTCAAGTTCCATCTACTTTCTTAATTAAAACCCAAATTTCCCCAAAAGATCCCCCCCACACCCCTTTTCTTGCACTGCATGCAATTCCTAGGGCTATTTACAGGCCTCTGTCCTTTTCCAGCCATGTAAATGCTTCATGTCAAGATCAGGTTTTGGCACCTGGATTGTAGTGTGCCTCTGCACCCTGATAGCTGTTATCACCTTAGAACACTCCCATGACAGCTCATCCAGCACTCCAGAATCTCAGATATATAAATGCCACGTATCCACTATTACACATTCATTTTCATATTTGTTCAAAAATGTTTACTCATCAACTTCCATGGCCAGCACATGCTATTTGCTGAGAATGACATAATGGCAAACATATAGTACCTATCCTTGCAGAACATGAAGAGAGGTTACAGGAAGGAGAAGGAAATGAATCAAATTATAATTTTTAAAGTGTTAAAAATATAATTCTCATATAAATACATGTAAACCAGGTGCTATGATTTTAATTAATGTGTAAATGAGGGAAGGACTAGGCTAACAAAGATAGTTCAAAAATCAATGAAAAAAGGAAACCTAAAAATATCACAAATTTAATGTCCATTGGGACAATAAAACTATAAAGAAATTTTATTCATTTAAATCAGATGATCTTTAGACAGTTTTACTATTAGATAAATTCTAAGATGACATTGAAAAGGTATGTAGTTTGTCACCTTTTATGTTGTTTCCACATTTTAGATAGTTTTTCTTAACAAAGACAGTTATTTTTACCTGTGAAAGCCCTAATTTAAACATATTTTTTACTTCAGACATACGAATATCTTTAAATTTGTTTAAAACAATAATCAAATTATTAAAATCAAGCAAACATATTAGAACACACTTGTAATCCCAGCAACTGGGGTGGGTGAGGCAGGAGAATCCCAAATTCAAGGACAGCCTCAGCAACTTAATAAGATCCTATCTCAAGAATAAAATGGGCTGTGGATGGGACTAAGTGGTTAAACACCTCTGGGTTCAATCACTAGTACCAAAAGAAAAAGGAAAAAGAATTAAAAAAAAAAAACTAACAAAAATCCATAATTTTAAGAATGGTGAAAATTCAATTTTAAAACATTTTCCTTCAAGACACAAATTAGAAGCATCAGATATACCAAATGAGATGGTTTATTTCTAAAGCAAAGCCTTTCAGAAGGTATATGACCTCTGACAACTTCAATTACATTCCTGTGTAATCAGAGATAAGGAATACATCTTACTGTATGCAGTTGCTCAACTTTATATGGAAAAAAAATACAAGACAAAAGCAGAACCAAATCTCAATCTTTCTGGTAGAAGATAAAAAGAGTTGAAGACAATTATGAAGTAAATAAAGTGAGAAATTGTGAATAGAATTAATAATCAGTTACCATTAGTGTTGGTTAACACTGATACCTAATAAAGATACACATGTGCTTTTCTTCATTACATCTATATTAAAATCTCCCTTCCATTTATTTAAAAAAGTGGTTTCTTTTTCTTGAAGTTACAAAAAAGTCTTACATGAGAAAAATAATGACATTCTGTATGGTACTTACTGGAAATGCTTTTTTTTTTTTCCAGAACAGCATCATTAATTCTTTGGAAATATTTGCATTAAGTACAAAATTCAAAATAGCATTTTAATTTTGGGTTTACTTTACTTGGAAATATGATTTTTTCCAGAATTCAGCAGAAAAGAGTATATTTATATTTACATGTGTTTTATTCCCATTACATGAATGACAAATTGATTTTTATTAGGAAGCAAATTTTATCTCACTCTTTAACCACAACTTCCAGTTCTTGTTTACTTCTGTTTTCATAGGTTTTTCAGACTTCTGTTCCCTGGATTCCTCCAGGCTATCCCAGGCTAGCAACCTCAGCATGGTCAAGCTTCCATTGATTGACTCCCCCACCTACTCTTTCATTAATACTTTCAATTGCATTACACTTTGTCACACTGCTAATTATTCTACTTCAGAAATGAATTTATTTGCTGAACAAATAAACTAAGTAAGAAAATATTTAAAAGGAAGCATGCACTTACCGACTAACTAGGTCAGGAATGAAATGTAGATAGACGGAGCATCCCCAGAATACAATTATTGGAGGGAGGGATTGCGGATTCACTGAGCAAGAAATAAATGTGGGAACAACTCTTTTCTATTGAAACTAACAGGGGACACATCTGAATTTCAGTTGCCGAGCCCTCCAGTTCCCATCAAGTCATAATAGGAGGCACTGTTTTGCTATCTACTTTGATATTGTCTGCTGTCATATTCATTGGACTTTACTTATATAAACAGAGACAAGGAGCAAGGAAAGGTAAAGATATTCTTCTTTTCCATATATGAACAGCTCTTTTCAGAGTAATCAAAATCAGCAAAGACAGTGCTAAAGGAAATATTACTTCACATCTGTGAGATTCTGATACCTCAACTTTAAAGTATAGAAAATAAGACCTCTTGACAGAACTTCTATGCAGATTAAAACAAATTATTTACTGTAAAAATCTTACACTGCTCTAATACAATAAACATAAAAGGTTGTCGTTATTGTCATTATGATTGTTAATAATTTTGTGGGAGAAAGAGGAGGAAGATTTTTTTAAAAGGGGGAGGATAGAAAAGAGATGGACCAAATATTCATGATACACTAAATATTCATGACGTTCTAACTACCCAAGTGATACTTATTATGACACTGTGATACTTCATCTGCCCAAGAAATGCCGATAAAATCCATAACTGCTCACTAGGCCAATCAAAGAGCTACAGCTATGCTAAGTGTACTTGTCTTCGTAAGTTTGTATGCCAGCTACAGGCAACACCTTATTAATTCACATCCCTTTCAACATCAGTTCCAGTCCCTGTAACCAGACTATCAGCCAAGAGGGTTGAAGAGGCAGAGAAAAAGGATTCATGTGAACATATGTAAGTACGTGTGTAAATATTATATAATTACAGGATTCATGCAATGTGCTTGCAAACTACCCCAAGTGTGTTAATCTAAATCATTTATTTCTCTTTATTTCTTACTGTATATCATGAGTTGATTTGGTAAACTGCAATATGAAGTCCTGCTTCCATGGAGAATAAATGACAAAGTTGAGGTCCTGGTCAAAAAATTAACACGTCTATGGAATGTAGATGCTCCTTAAGCACCTCATGACATTGTAAAGACTAAAAGTGGAGGCCTCTGAGAGAACCAGCTCCTTCCCCTTCATCTCAAACCATGGCCTTCCTGCTCACAGTTTGCAGTAGAGATGTTTTCCCAAGATCTCTGCTGAATGTCCAAGCTTTTTGATTATTACAGCCCAAATTACTGGATCGAAACCACATATGCTCCTCTATGTGGAATTTTCTTGAATGAATAATCAATGTAAAAGAAAGACAGCTTTCTGATATCTCAGTTTTCAAAAGTAACCTAAGAATAACTATTAAAAATAAATTAGGTAAATGTGTTCATATAAATATACTTAATAAATACTATAAATATACTTAATAAAAATGGCTGTACTATTTCGTATTCTTAACCAGCAACAACTGAAAGTTGTTTTACATCTTTTTTAGCATTTGGCAGTGTTCAGGAATTTAGCCAGTCTAGCAGGTATATAGAAGTATCTCGTTGGTTTTTTTGTTTGTTTGTTTGTTTTGTTTTGTTTTCGGGAGGGGGTACTGGGGATTGAACTCAGGGACACTCAGCCACTGAGCCACATCCCCAGCCCTATTTTGTATTTTATTTTGACAGGGTATCATTGAGTTGCTTAGCACCTTGCCATTAAGGAGGCTGGCTTTGAACTCAAGATCCTCCTGCCCCAGCCTCCTGAGCCACTGGGATTACATGTGTCACTGTGCCCAGCTGTTTGTTTGTTTTTTAGTTGTGATACTTTTGATTTATCGAGCATTTAATGGCAGACATTTCATGAACTTGTATTACCCCTTTACTTAAGCAAACTTTATTATCAAATTTAAGATAATGATCCCTCTTCAATCCCACATCCTTGAAGCAGGAGTTACTATTCTCTTTTCCAGAATTGCCAGAGCCAGGACTTAACCACTATTCTGTATAATGGAAAGTTTACAAAAACTTAAAATAATCATAGAAGTACCTTTCCTTGACAGCCAGAAAAGTGCTTCTAATTAGAAATACATATGTTGCAATCAAGGTGGTGACAGATACCTTGCCCAAAGGAAATGGTTCAAAAACTAGTTCTTGACAGCAACAGCCCAATTCTAAAGGCATTGACTAACTCTTCAGTGACATCAGCTACCTGCTTAAAATTCACCCACATGTGCACTAGCCCTCGGCTACAACAACTTCACTTTGCCAAAAGTACTGCTGCTCATTGTTGTTTTACTTTGCAATTGCCTAATAATATATGATGTCAAGCATTTTTATAAGTTTATTTGCAATCTATATCTTTGGGTTGTGTATGTTTACATCCTTTGCTCAATTTGTTCGATTTTTTATGTAGTTATTAGTTTAAAGAATTTTCTTTATATATTTTGAATACAATTTCTTGATTTTTTTATAGCTATTTTCTTACAGTCTTTGACTTGTTTTCTCATTTTCTTTCAACAGTATCTTTCATGGAGCAGAAGTTCTTAATTTTAGGAAGTCCAAATTGTCAATTTTTTCTTTCATGGATCATGCTTTCGGTGTTGGATTCTCAAATCCCTTATATAAAATATTTAGTATTTGTATATAACTCATACCCTCCCACATATTTTAACATTTATCTAGAATACTTATGATACCAAATAGAATTTAAATGCTATATAAATTATTGTTATATGTATTGTTGAAGAAATAATGACAATTTTAAAAGTCTGTACATGTGTACAGATACAGTATATTTTCCAAACATCTTCTATCAAGGTGGGTTGAACACACACAGAGATGTGGAACTCAAGAATTGAGGGCTGACTGTATGTTTATTAACATCAAAATTAATTCCACTGCTGAATCCAGGCCCTTCAAAAGTTTCTTTTGAACAAGCTGCATCCCAGGTGAAAGTCTTCTATATCATAAGGGGATGTTTTTGAAAGACCAAAAGGGAATTGAATGGTTTGGCTGAATATGTGGGTCTCATAAGTGCTTTAAGAAGGCTCACTCACACATTGACCTGAAACTTTTCCCCAAAGCTTCTATTTGTGATGACTCTCCAAGTTATAACCCAGGAAGAAGTTGAGTCTTATTTTGTTATTATTTTATTTTATTGGTACTGGGGATTGAACCTAGTAGTGATTTACCACTGAGCTATATCTCCACCCTTTTCTATTTTTTATTTTTTTATGATTTTGAGACAAGTTCTTGCTAAGTTGCTAATGCTGACCTCAAACTTGCAATCCTCCTTCCTTAGCCTCTAGAGTGGCTGGGATTACAGGTGTGCACCACTGTACCTGGCAAGTTGAGTCTTATTAATGGGAAAGGAATGTCATCCATTTCTATTTTTATATGAAAGTTCCCAGCAGAATAAAGGGGGCTAGTGAAAGTGATGACACTGATATAATTTTTTTCAGATTGACATCAGCAAGTCCCTGAAAGGAACCCCAGGAAGGACCAGACAAAGACATATATACGACCCACTCCAGAGCTCAAGACCAGGACCTAGGTCAGGCCCAGGATGTTCAACATCTCTAGCAATTAGAGAAATGCAAATCAAAACTACTCTAAGGTTTCATCTCACTCCAGTCAGAATGGCAGCTATTAAGAATACAAACAACAATAACTGTTGGCGAGGATGTGGAGAAAAAGTTACACTCATACATTGCTGGTGAGACTGCAAATTGGTGCAACCAATCTGGAAAGCAGTTTGGAAATTCCTTGGAAAACCTGGAATGAAACCACCATTTCACCCAGTTATCCCAGTCCTTGGTTTATACCCAAATGATTTTTTTTAAGAGAAATAAATAGATAGATTGAGAATTTTTTAATATTTATTTTGTAGCTTTCTGCGGATACAACATCTTTGTTTTGTATGTGGTGATTAGGATCGAACCCGGGCCGCATGCATGCCAGGCAAGCGCACCACCGCTTGAGCCACATCCTCAGCCCAATACCCAAAGGATTTAAAAACAGCACACCACAGAGACACAGCCACATCAGTGTTTATAGCATTACAATTCACAATAGCTAAACTGTGGAACCAACCAAGATACACTTCAGGGGATGAATGGATAAAGAAACTGTGGTATAGGGCTGGGGTTGTATCTTAGTGGTAGAGCTCTTGCCTACCAAGCATGAGGCACTGGATTCAATCCCTGGCACAACATAAAAATAAAATAAAAGATAATAAAGGGTATTGTGTCCATCTACAACTAAAAATAAAAATAAAAAATAAACTGGTATATATACACAATGGTATATTACTCAGCATTAAAAGAGAATAAAATTATGGCATTTGCAGTAAATGGATGGAGTTAGAGAATTATCATGCTAACCGAAATAAGTCAATCCCAAAAAAACAAAGGACAAATGTTTCTCTGATAAGTGGATGCTGATCCATAATGGGGGGAGAGGATGGAATGGAGGAACTTTGATTGGGCCAAGCGGAGGGAGGGAAGGAGAGGGGGCCTGGGAGTAGGAAAGATGATGGAATGAGATGAACATCATTACCCTAGGTACTTGTAGAACTGCACTTGTGGTGCAGCTCTACATTGTGTACAACCAGAGAAATGAAAAGTTGTGCTCCATTTGTGTAGAATGAATTGAAAAGCTTTCTGCTGTCATGTATAACTGATTAGAACTAATAAAAATAAATACATTTTAAAAAATTTAGAAAGATAGACAGTCAGGGAACAATTTAGACCTTAGCAACAAGGCAAAAATTGACTCCTTGGACTGGGGCTGTGACTCAGCGGTAGTGCATTTGCCTGGCATGTGCGAGGCACTGGGTTCGATTCTCAGCACCACATAGAAATAAATAAGTAAAATAAAGATCTATCAACAATTGAAAACAATATTTTTTTAAAAAAACTGGCTCCTTTGTGTATAAAGAATTATTTATAAACATTATTGTCAATTCCCATTGGGCCCCACTATTCCCTCCAAGGACTTCAACCCATTTTAATCTGTAACCCATTGCCTTACAATCACAGACATGTACCCTCCGATCAGCCTCTGCTTTCCAAGCCACTATCCACTCATAGTTTTTAGCCATGTTTTTTTAGAAGATGCACATAAGAATAAGACTTCAGTAGTTGGAGCTTTGGCATACAGGATGCAATCCACAAACTCTCCTACAGTCCTTATAACCACTGAGTGAGGCAACTGTCAAAATCCCAATATTTAACATGAAGAAAATGATAGATATGTACAATTATCATGTACCATTAAAAATGAAAACATAAACAAAAATTTAAAAGATAAGGAAAGTAAAATCCAGAGAGATGGGGCACTTGATGAAAAATTTAAAACTATCAAGTAGGGAAAAAGGGAGTCAAAAAATTCCTTTGATTCCAAAGTCTAAGATCTTTATACTATACCACCTTCAGCTGTGTTAACATAGAAGCCAAAGGATGCACTGAGAGATGTGCTTACAATGTGACATTCAATGCAATTCAGCATTTTCCTGGTTGTTTATGTCTTGGAACCCAGACTTCTTGACCTGGGTTCCATGACCCTTCCAACCTTTACTCAGGAGCTTCCTCCCTAAGTGGAATGGGGCCCATCCTATCTCTCTCACCACCATCTCCCAATCTGCTGCTAGCTCTAGTCCTACTTCAAATCCTGTGCTTTATTTACCCCACTCCTAGTGTCATCACATCAGGGACCCTTTCTTCTAAGTCATGCCCTGCTCTGTTTTCCAGATGAAAATCCCTGAACACCTGACATGAGCCTGGATCAAATGGAGCTCCTGGTCATCCCCTTCAGGAATCAGATTCACAGCCAGCATAGTTTTTCTACACAGGCCCTCCCTGTGGACCCCAGCTCCATTCACTTCCCCAGGGCCTGACTTTAAAGCTACACAACCCCCAGCAGAGGCACTGTGGACTAGAGAATGATCACAGTCTTTAAAATCAGGCAGACTTCATGTAAATCCTAGTATATGAGGTAGGCAAGTCATTTCAGCTCCATAAACTGCTGTTTTCCATATGCTTATGAAAGAAAATACTACTTCCCTTACAAGGAAGCTGGCACACTCTGGTTGTACAATAAAATGTAGGTGCTCTCAATATTTTCCAGCTATCTTTCAAGATCCATCAAGATCATAACTCTTGAATTTAATCAAAATATTCTTGGGGCTGGGGATGTGGCTCAAGCGGTAGCGCGCTCGCCTGGCATGCGTGCGGCCCGGGTT